GCGGCTGGTCGATATTGTCGAATTGGTTTACTGTCGGCTGAGCCGCTCGAGAGACTGGCTCAACAGCTCATAAAAGGGCGCGCGCGGAAAATATATGTCGACATTGAAAAGTTTGTCGAACAAGCCCGGCGACATGTTGCCAGGATAGCGCTATAACTTAACGCCGCCGTCGATATGGGAAAGGACTTACCGGGCGCGGGCGTCCCTTCTCCTTATCCTTATCCTATGACACCCGCCATCCAGTCCGCTTCCGCTTCCTACGCCCTCGTCCCTTTATACGGCGGGTGCCTGCGAAACTTCGGGTCGCGGCACCTTCGGTTATATGTGCGAACAGAAACGGCGAAAATATGGCCGGGCGATTTACGGCTCTCCGCCGCCTAAACGCACGAGCCTCGAGAGGGTGCGATTCTCGCGAACGCACTTGCCACCGTGAGGCATTGCCGCACCGTCGGCGATCGCCATCCTCTTAACGTTGTGCGACTCCTTGGCCACGCTCCGGCTCTCACCGCGGATATATCGCGTTTCGCAAAGGAGATCTCGAGGAACATCCAGGTCCATCGGACACCGGCACGCTCCTCGGGAATTATCGCGAGAAGAGAGAAAAATTCGCCGTCTCTTTCGGAGCGTTAAGGTTAAGGCAATCCAACACTTGCCCTTCTTGCATGAATTCTCCCACTTGGTTGGTCGAACGGATTCGAACGGTTGGATCATCGTGCTCGATTCGTGGTAATCCCACGTCTCTAACCAGACGCCAGACAGTTAAAAAAATACTCGGTTCTCTCGCGAGCGGCTTTTTTTAGGGGTCGTTTAAACCCTCCTGCCTCGCGCGAGTCACGGAAACGAAACGCCGCCGCGCGGTGGTTCTTTCTGGCCGAAGATGAGCCGCACGTTCAACGTTGAAAACGAGTATTCCCAGTGTACGTGCAGCCCTGGTGGTGGCTGTAGGCTGGGGTCGGTGCAATTAGGGGTATTAATTAGCGGGTACTTCATGCCGCCCCCTCCCCTTTCCGTTTCGCCCCTCTCGCGCTTTCCTCTCGCCGTTTCCATCCCAGCCAACAACAGCAGCAGCAGCAGCAGCAGCAGCAGCAGTAGCAGCCTCCCTCGTTCTCTTCCTCCGTCACTCTTACTCCTCCATCGGCGAGAACGCGTCTCTTTCTCGCGCGCTCGTTCTAAAGTGTACCCGCACCACCGACAGGCCAATACGAACAAGGGGCATACATAGCTAATTACACGGTTTTATGTCATCGGCCGCGGGGTTGGTATAGAAACACCCTGTGAAACTTGTGACGTCAGCGAGCGCGGCGCGCCGGGGGAGCCGAGTACGCGGCGGCATCGCCAGCGGCATCGAAGATTTAGTTATTATCCTTTTTACCGCTTTTATCCGCGAGCACAAAAGTACCGGGTAATTAGCTGCGGAGATATGCAGCCGCGCGGTTGCGAGCTGCGCTCGTTCGTCGATACGCGCGCACACATGGGATGACGCTTTTTTTAAGATACGCGCGTTTTCCTTCGGCCGCATAGATACGCGCATATTCACGAATGAGAAACGCAAAAATAAAGTAGTCCCTCCGCGCATGCGAATCGTTGCGATTGATGAGGGGAGAAGTCGGTCATCGCTTCCAAGACGCATACCGTTCGCTTTATTCGCGCGGCGATATCCGTTAGAGTCCGCAAAGCCGCTATCACGGCGGTTAGCGTCGAGAGCAGGGCCGGGTTAGATATTCATGTATTTAAATTTATTTATTGGCAGGATTTTGGCCCCCTCTCCTCTCTCCTTTTTCATCCTCTCTCTCTCTTTCTCTCTCTCTCTCTCTTTCTCTCTTGCGAGGGTGACGGTGTGAGCTGGACCGAGCTCTTTCTCTCTCTCCCAGCCCTTTCGCGGCTCGCTCCCTCTCATCCCCGTTGCCATTCAGTCGGCTGTTAAACCTTCGATGCTCTACAACCCTTTCTGGGTAATTTTCCCGCTTAAAGAGATCTCGGCCAATTACACGGGCTGTCCGACGGGCGTTGAATTTTAATCGAAAAGAAAGAAAGTGGCGGTCCTCTCTTCTTGGCCAGCTCTTTTTACACGGCCATGCACTCCCCGTTGCGCTGACGAAGAAACGTGTGGCGACGACGAGGTGCACGGAGGTACACACGCGCGACTTTTTGCACGCCGACGACGGTGCGACTTCGATCGACGTTTTCAATGGCGCGACGTCGCGACGCGTTCTCGGCACGAGCGGGAGGAATCCGGCGGTTTCGCGATTATAGATGGAGATTCTCCGTTACATGACTGCGAAATCGATCACGGCATCCTACGGCTTTTGGCGTGATAACAAGATTTATTATAATTGATTTATAAGAGACAATACACATATCAGCGTAATCGAAAACGATGCATTATTAAGAGAGATAATTAGGCCGACGGGCTTGTCGAAACTCGCGGATGTACAATTGGTTTGCGCACGATGGTCGAAGAGACGAATTTAAAGAAACGCTCGGGAACGAATTCCACTCCAGCGTGGCACGGGTGCTGCCACGTCGCGGAGGCGCAATAAACTAGCTAGCCTCCCTCTTTGCCACCCTCTTGCAAGCCCTCTAATCAATTTCCTAAAGTATCCACATACGATCACGATATCGTTCCAAGCATTGGATACGCTCGTCGTTCGCCCGATACTCGAGTGAGAATTGAATTAAAAAAGAAGCTTTTAATTATACACGATTCGTTTTGAATGTAGCAACGTTACAGAAGCGAAATATCCCGCAGATCACGCCGTCTCTAATCCGCGTCCTTAATACGCATATTCGTACTTCAAAAAAGGAGAAACGATACAAAATTTAATGGCCTTCTCTTTCTGTCGTTCAGTCTGCGGAAATGTTGAAGACACGTGTGATTTAGGACCGCTAACGTATTAGCAAAGTTTCTCTCCAGGTGGATGCGTGTGTACACGTGTGCTAGCATGATTGGAGCGATTGCGCCTTTCGTCGACGGCTTTGTGCCGAAGAAAGCTAATAAGTATCGGGAAACACGAGTCCAAGTAACTTTTAAGAACTCCGCACTGCGCGAGGGTGCGGCGGGGGCTGCGAGGGTAACAGAGGGGCGAGAGGGTCGTTGGAGGCGGATGGGTGGGGCGGCTTGCCGTACTTTATGAACACGCTTCACATAAATTGTCGCGGCTCTTTAAGAAATTGGAAAAAGGCGCGAGGAACAGCCTCGCGTGGAACAGCTTGCGCCGAGAGAGCAAGCTGAGAACTTTCTCAACTACCGTCGGACGCTAACTAGAAGGGGATCGCAACGAACGAGCGAACGGGCGGGCGAGCGAGTACCATACGTGCGTGCGTACAAGTGAGCAAAGAGAAACAATTGACCGTAGTTATGAGATCCAACCCACATGGGGTATATTTCGGGGAAAACGAAGATGATGGTTTGATATGCGATTCAATAAATGTAAATAGCACCTAGATCCTCCCCACCCTTCACAATCATTCAACAAGTTAAACGTGGTCAATTTTCTTTCTTTAATTTATTCACTAACAAGCTTAACCTTTTGTGACTAAAAAACGGGTAAAATAAACGCAATTAGTAGAAAATAATAACTGCTTTTTAATTAATTTTAGGTGTCCATAAAGCTTAAATCTTTTTTGTTTTAAGTAAATAGACGTATAGAATACTCACCAAAAATAAAATATTTTATAGGTTGAATCATTTTGTGACTAAAAAACGGGTAAAATAAACGCAATTAGTAGAAAATAATAACTGCTTTTTGATTAATTTTAGGTGTCCATAAGGCTTAAATCTTTTTTGTTTTAAGTAAATAGACGTATAGAATACTTATCAAAAATAAAATATTTTATAGATTGGATCATTTTTGCTTAACTACACTAAAAAAAGAAATATCTAAAAATTAACAAACATTTATTAGGTGGGTACCATTAACATATTGATTTAAATCAAAATTCTCTTCATTTACATCGAAAATTTACTTAAGCTGGGTAAACAATACTCGGTTTAAATGAAAAGAATTTTGATTTAAGTAAATATGTCGAAGGTACTCACCTAATAAATATTAATTGTTAGATATCTTTTCTCAGTGTACGGTCAATTGCTTGGAAGAAAAATTATAGAGCATTGCATTTACAAACCGTCAGTTTTAAAGCAGGGCATATATTATGAAAAATTATCCAAAACTTTGCGGCATACATAATCATCATTTTTTTTAGAAGAATATGTGTTTAAGGGAGTTGGAAATGAAGCCAATTTTCACTAATCCAAGTCATCCGTTAATTCTTTTTCAAATTAATATCTTAATAATACAGACGTCATGTGTATGAAAAGTCATATGGGATTTTCGTGTTCAGTTTTATGCGCTTTATACACGTTTGATGTTGTATTTAAATTCAAACATCTTGTATTTACGCAAATATATATCATATATAAATCTTATATATTATCTTCTTTCTGTATAATTTAAAAGCAAACTAACATTCGAAATTTGTTAAGAAATTTATTCTAAAATATACCAGAATCAGAGTAAAGTTTTGCTGCTCATTATTATATTTTATTCAGTTAAAGTAAACTTTATATCCACTGAAAACTTAAAACTGACGCTTTGCGTTATAAATCCAAACTGAGATCTGCCGTTGGTTTTTAACAACTCTGGCGACTAGCCTCGCGGGGTCCATTGTGTGGGGCTAATTGTCACAGGCGGCGTGTTTATGTGCCGCTCGCCACATACGGCAAATACGCGGCCCCCTTTCATTCGCGTTGAAATCGTTTGGATTCCTTTCTTTCTCGTTTATTGTAACCGTGGCGAGATTAATATCATCACTGTGTGAATCGGATAATCTATGTAAGCGGATAATCTATAATGTATTCCCGATATTCATAAATCACATCGTTATACAAGGTGCTCGAATTTAATACGCGTTGTGTCGAACACGTCATGCGGAAACTTTTATTAATGTCCCCCCTCCCGTACACACGCACACACGCACCTATACAGCTATGAATTCCGTAGACGAAGGGTTCCTCCAGAAAGTGACAACGAGATCGAGCCGGAACGAAGACGGGCCGGAGGAGGAGGCCGAAGAAGGACGCGCGTACCTGTGGGACACATTTCCCAGGCAGGTAATCTTCGTTCGTAGGCGAGATATTACATTTGAATAAATGTCCCTGTGCCGATAACCGGCGCCGATCGCAAATACGATCGCGAAATACCTGGGCGGGCCTGCCGCGCGGCACGGCGTGGCGCGACGCGACGTCCCGTGGGAAATATTTGCTAATATCGATCATATCGTCATTAATGGCTTGTCGCGGTGCTTCCCTCGTCTACCAACTCGCGACACTACCCGTTGCTGGCCCCGTTACCCATCCCTCTTCTCTCCCTGCACACGTTCTCCTCCTCCCACCTAATGCCTACCTCTCCCCTTTGTTAGCCGCGAGTTCGCGATAGTTCGCATTAATCGAATTATCCCGTAGACGGCTGCTGCTCCTTCTCGCCTTTATACGGGGTCGCGACAATGCGCCCGCAGACGCGGATTCCGCGCCGGCGGAACAGGTCGACCGTGGCTGTCACTCAAACGCGAACGTTCTGTCTGTTATATCGATGAAACACACACTTTCCCGACGAGGGGAACTCTCGGAAACTCGCGAGGAGGGGAGAAGTTCGAGATTCGGCAATTTTTCATCGAACACAGAGAATATATTCAGAGCGCACACATTCAACTGCACGCTCGAGCGATACAGAGAGAAAAGGAGAGAGAGAGAGAGAGAGAGAGAGAGAGAGAGAGAGAGAGAGAGACACACAAGTTATTTTCTATCAATATCGAAAGGATATAAGGCCTTTAAAGGCCAAATATAATTTTATGCCAATATTAAAATTATATTCATTCTATAGCAAGTATTGTCTGTACTTGGCTCTTTTTTTTTGTATCGACATTTCGATCGATAATTCATCAGAGGCTGTTCAACCTTCTTTATTACTTTTTATCATTTCTCGCGAGATTGTGATACCCGCGACACATAGAGTAATTATTCGATAGAGCAGGGCAAAATGTCGCGAGACGGGAAGTCAGATAGTGTACCGGTTGTGACAAAACTGCATACTGCCCGAGAGAGAGAGAGACAGAGAGAGAGAGAGAGAGAGAATGAAGGGGGGTAGGCGTCAGCCGGTGACCAGTAAGTTGCAACGAAATCACGCATAATAATAATAATAATAATGTGTATCGTTCGGTGGGCGCCAGAGCGAGGGGGTAAGAGAGATGGGTGGAAGAGAAGGTAGAAGAGGAGGAGGAGGAGGATGACGCGGCGGTGGTGGAAAGGGGGAGGGAGGAGGAAGGTAAATCGGAATTTACCCCAAGCGGACGCGCGCGGCCGCGACCGTATCTCGTCGGACTCACCCCCTGTGGCCACTCGACGCGTCCGCCGGTGTTTACCGCAATTATTAAATGTAAACTCATATTTCGTAATTGCCAAATATTGGCGGTCCGATCGTTCAGCCGCGGCCCGATGCGCCTCGCTCCGCGCGGGGCTGGTTGCAAGCGGGAGAACGAGGTTGAAGGAGGAGGCGGGGGGGGGGGGGGGGGGGG